ATAGCGACAAGTGACGCAGGCAGGCGATTCCACTCGTGACATGTTTTCGGCAAAAATGAATATGAGTAGGTGACTGTGCGCTGTGAAAGTACATGAACTTTACAAGGGTGATCGACACGTGGGGAGATATAAGATGCTCATGTAATGTATCGGCCCTTGAGCTCATAGTTATGATAATAGATCTTATGAAAGAGGGAAAGATGAGCTAACTTCCTATGAGAATAAAGGAGAGGAAGGCCAAGTGTTAGTTTCCTATTAGTGACGCTAGCATATCTATGGTAATTGTTAAGAATTAAACGGGCCGCTCGATTTTGCATATTTTGCAAAATCGAGCGGCCTGTTTGATTGTATTTTTGATTGTGGTACATTTGAGCGGTACATTTGATTGTATTTTTCAGAGTAGCATGGCCAGGGTCCCATATCGAGCATGCATATTCAAGGTTACATATAACATGAGTGATGTAAAGTTGTTGTTTTAGTTTCAGTGGAGTTAAAGAAAAGTTTAATTTAGCATAACCAAGCATGTGGTTAGCTTTAAACGTTATGTGTTCGATGTGTTTTTTCCATGAAAGATTGTTAGTAATATGCACACCGAGGTATTTATAGGATTGTACTTGATCAAGGGTAGTGTTGTTAAGTGCGTAAGTAAAGCAGGCTGAATTATTATGAGAAATTCTCATTGTTTTGCATTTCGACGTGTTGAGCTTCATTAGGAAGAGCTTAAACTGTGTTGAAGTGTTATTTAGGTCATGCTGGAACGTCAACGTATCGTTAAGGCTTTCAATCGCACAATATGTGACACAATCGTCGGCGAACAAACAAATAGTACTTGGGATTCGGTTATGAAGGTCATTGCTGTAAATTACAAAATATAAGGGTGCTAGAACAGAGCCTTGGGGTACGCCTGAGCGGTACCGGTATTTCAAGAACGTCAGTGTCATCAGCGCCCACATAATGCGTTCGGTTAGAAAGAAACTCCCAAATCCAATTAAAGACCAAGGAATCATTATTTAATTGGCTGAGTTTTAGTAAGAGTAAGTGGTGATTAACTCTGTCAAAATCCTTTGCAAAATTTATAAATATACAGTCCACTATAAATCCAGCGTCTAAAGAAGCGTGAAGATCATTACAAAATGTTAGTATTTGCGTTTCGCATGAGAAGGACTTACGGAACCCATGCTGACTGTTATGAAAAAACCTATTTGATTCTGAAAAATTTACTATATGCGAAAAAATGACGTGTTCAAATATTTTACAAGGTATTGATGTCAAGGAAATAGGTCTGTAGTTGTGAAGGTTTTGAATATCGCCGGACGTGCGTGTGGAATCACTTTGCCTGTTTTCCAGTCTCTGGATAGCGAGCTGTTGTTGAGCGATTTCGTGAAAATGAAGTTCAGTATAATGAAAGTATATTCGACAGTCGCCTGCATAAATTTTGACGTGACACAATGGATACCGCACTGGGAGGATCGTTTTATGTTTTTAATCATGGAGCTGATACCAGAAGCGTCGAGTAAAACGGGTTCTATTGGAAGGTAGCTAGGTGCAGTGAATGGTGGAGAGATGCCAGACTGTGTGGAGCGAAATGAACGCGAAAAAACAATGTCAAGTACAGAAGCACACTGACTGCTTGGGATTGTCTCACCCGACTCACCAGTAAATGTTCTAGTTAGTTTACCGTGGGTTTTCACAACATTTCAAAAGCATTTTGGGTTGGCTTTGAGTAGCGATGGAAGTGTAGTGTTATAAAATTTAAACTTCTTTTCCCTCAAATCACTGAAGTATGCTTTTGCTGCGGCGGCATAAGCGGACCACTTATCAGCAGATGCCTATTTCTTAGCGGCAAGAAAGAGTATACCTTTTTTTTAGAAAGCCAATTCAGGTGTCTTGTGTACCATGGTGCGTTAGATGACTCATACACCTTCCTTCTCTGGATATGTTTTTATCAAAAACCATAATTTGTTTTTAAAACACGCCCACAATTCTTCAACTGACGCGTCAGTGTACAAAGAACAAAAACTGTCGAGGAAGGTGGAAAGCTTATTGTTTATAGCGCCACAATTAGCCTTATTGTAATCCTTTATAAGTTTAAAGTGCTTGCTCCTTCTAGTCGTCGGTACAGAGATTGAAAAATGCAGCGCTTCGCGGTCACTGAATCCGGGAAAATTAGTTATTTTGGGTGGAGTATGGGGTGATGAAGTTAGTGCGAAATCTAGTAAGGATGATGTAGTAAAAGTAACTCGAGTAAGAAGACAGACTAGTTGGGATAGATTCAAATCGAAATACGTGGTTAGGAAGCAGCTAGTTTCAGCTGAAGTACGCTCCGCAAGCGGGCATGAATGAGACCATTGGATTGAAGGAAAAATTAAAAGCACCTAGAAGGAAAACTGGAATACCGGTAAACAATGCCAAGATATGGCTTACGCAATCATGAATTTTCTCGCAGAAGGAGTCCATGGTATTAGGCGGGTGGTAGCAAATGCCAAAAACCATTTTTTGAAAACATGCGGTTACGCAGCAATACACCATTTCTAAATTTCATGGGATTTTCAAGCGCGAACATTGAAAACATTCATTCACGGCAAGGAGGACACCACCACCCGTTTTCTCAGAATGATCATAACGACGTATGGTGAATGTTTTCTCGCGCTGAAAAAGCTCACACGAGGTGACTTTGTCCGACAGCCAGGTTTCAGTCAACAGAAATATATATGGATTCGTGTCATTAATTATGACACTTAGACTGTCTCTTTTTGGAATAAGGCTGTGCACGTTGGCATAGAGTATTGAGAGCTCTGATGGTGAGCCAACACCCCAGTTGTTTCCTTGATCAACGCCGCTGGAAAAGCATGATATGCTTTGCGCTAGATGGGCATTGTTGTCCATTTTTAGAGCTCTTCGAAACTTCCTGTGTGTTTTTAGCAGCGATAGCTGCACTATCCCAGCCTTTTTTGACGTAGTTTGAAGCATCCCAAATGTGCCTACGGATCGCCGAAGGGGCTCATTTTTGTCAATGACAGCTGTTGAAAGAAATGCATTAAAGGAGCCCTGAAACACTTTTCAAGCAACCATGGAATGAATTCACTAAAAGAGCTTATTGCATCTCGAATTCAACGCCGCGAAAATTTTAAGACGCCATCCAGCGCGAGTGGAGTTACAAAGGTTTGTCACTTACTGAAATTGCATTCTCGTCACTCGTTCTGACGAAAGCGCTGGAAGCTAAGCAGAGAGGGGTGGCAGGGGCGAAGAAACTGCGTTACCCACGCCTCGTGACCTTGAGCACTTTTGTTTTCTTTGAATGCGCGGCTTCTTCATGGGATCGCGCACGCACGCAAGGACAAGTAGCGGCCTTCCGCGGCGATCTCTGTAACTTGCTTTTTCTCTCACGGGCAATTTTGTGCTCACTACCAACGAGGCCGATACCGACGGCGCTATTTCTGCGAACGGGCTCTCTAACGCTATTGCGTGACTTGCAGGTTAAATGAAATACGAAGTATCTGTACCATTCCACTCGGCATCGCCAATTAGGTAGTCCTAAACTTCCTTCTTTGTTCCTGGTGTGCTTTTACTTAACGCTGGTAGTTTGTTTTCTTTTTGTTTTTTCTCAAAGACATAAACAATCCTAAACTCGATTGGTTGATTGATTGATTGATTGATTGATTGATTGATTGATTGATTGATTGATTGATTTATAAGTGGGGTTCAACATTCCGAAACCATCATTAGAATATGAAAGACTCCATAGTGGAGGGCTCCGAAAGTTTATACCACCTTGGTTTAACGAGCACGCAAATCTGAGCAGACGGGCCTACAGCATTTTCACCTCCATCGAAAATGCAGCTGCCGCTACAGGGATTCAAATCCTGGGACCAGCAGGTTAGCAGCCGAGTACCTTAGCCACTAGACCACCATGGCGGAGCGATCATGAAACCGAGCTTGACAGCCTGGGTTTTACAACAACTAATGGTGACGTAAGCTTTCGGTGAAACTGCAGTAGCGCTGTTCTTTATCTGACGCGTATTGCAGTAACTGGCCGTGTCACGCCAGGTTGTTCAATGACAAGACAGGCTGCGCAGGTTTCTCTGCAATGGTCACCACACCAATATTCTATTTGATTAACCCCAATGTAAGGTAAAACTTGCAGGTCAAATGCAATGCTGGGTCTTTGCATCATTCCGCTCGGCGTGGTCGATGGAGTCGTCCTCAACTACCTTCTGGGGTTCTCTCTTCCGTGCTATTAGTTAACGCTGGTATAATGTTTTCATTTTGTTTTCCTAAAGGTTGAACGATCCTACTCTCGATTGATTGATTGCATTTCCGATGGAGGCGGAAATGCTGTAGGCCCGTCTGCTTAGGTTTGGGTGCACGTTAAAGAACCCCAGGTGGTCAAAATTTCTGGAGCCCTCCACTATGGCATCTCTCATAATCATATGGTGGTTTTTGGACTTTAATCCCCACATATCAATCAATCAATCGATTGATTGATTGATTGATTGATCTATATGGTGGGCTTGACATCCCAAAACAACCATGTGATTATGAGAGACGCCATAGTAGAGGGCTCCAGAAATTTATACCACCTGGATTTCTCAAACAAGCACCAAAATCTGGGCACACGAGCTTAGGCATTTTTGCCTCCATCTAAAATGCAGCCGCCGCAGCTGGGATTCAATTCCGCGACCTGCGGGTCAGCAGCCGAGTATCTTGGCCAGTTGATTACAACGACGGGGCAATCTTAAACTTGATTTGGAACAGGGGAAAACGGGTCCAATAGAACCTACAGAATATTGTGATTGTTATTTTACACTGTATGCTATGTGCCTTAATTTTTTGTTTAGTAGAAGTGACCGTTAATTGCAGTCATGAACACACCGAGAATAAAGCCAGCGTACCTTATAATATAATTTCCTCGGGATCTATCAGCGCAGCGGTGAAATAGAGCTCTTGATCGCATCTCTCAGGGCTGAAAAGACAATGTTTTCTTTTTTACTTCGCTCCAGGGCGTGGTTTTCTTCTCCTGGGTGCCGAAAGTGGTTGACATTGCGGCGTGCGCTTGCCTGATTCTCGTGTCCCTCCCTCTTCCAGAGACGTTCAACGAACCACTTCCGGACACGCTGCACGACATCAAGAAGGCAAGGTACGGTAGAGATTTTCCGCCCAGGCGGTAGAGTGGATACACAGCTTTGCTACTTGGTCACCGTTTCAATCCCAGCCTCAACGTTTCCATTTGATGGAGGTGTATTGCTGCGGTCTCGTGGACCAATCGATAATAGTGCACGTGAGAGAACACCCAATGGTCAAATCTTTTGGGTCCTTCCGCTAGGGCCGTATTGATATTGTGGTTTTGCACGTATAAGCTATGACACCTACATTCTAAAAAAAGGAAGAGAGAATGAAGAAACGAGCTCCGTTTCTTCTTCGCCGCAGTGACTTTCTTCTTTTCGGGCGCTCTTACCTATCGCACCCTATCACAACATGGACTAAAAGAGCTGAGTTTCTCCTACAGCGTTCTCGTTTCTCCGCAACCCGTCTTTCAAGCATGTATGCACACGCCGAGCCTAGCCGGCCGCGGCCAGTCACGTGCTACTACTTTTACCTACGATTGATGCAAGAAACACTGGAGTGACTTTTATTCCTTTGTTTTGTTGGTGCACCAAAAAAGCCTTGTCTTTTTATCGCCAGGAACTCGCACGATGCTCCCCACACTTTCGTGTGTGTTTCATGTTGTTTCATACAACCAATTTTTTACAAATACAAGAAGCTCTGCTTCCCTAAACAGTACTGCTTTACTGATTACCTTAGACTGTACACAAATAATGGATTTTTTTATTGTCGACATACTTGGTAAGCATACGTGTTTTTAATTCCGCACGGCCCCAAAAGCACTAATCAATTCAACGAGGTGGATAAAACTGCATCCCAGTTACTTTTTCAACATTCTAGGAAAATTGATACCTCTGCACAGTTCTTACTTGAAAGCACGATCGTATAGAATTGCTGGAGCAATACGTGTCGCTGTCGCTACCGCCATATGATTATGAGACATGCCGTCGGGGGGTTCTGCGGAAGAATTTCGACCCACTGAAGTTTTTTTTGTGAATCTAAGGATAAGCACACGAGTGTTTTTTTTTGGATTTTATCCTCATCCATAGAAGGCTGCTGTGGCCACGAGTCGAACCTGCGCTCTCCAGCGTAGTCACCCAACACCAAATGAGGCTATGCTACCACGGCAGGTGAATTCCGAAAAGGAAGCGGGCTCCCAAGTCTCACCGGGCGTTTATTTACCGCACTGAGTTACAATCATTAGAAACGTTATAAACATCATCATAACTACACTTTTCTTAGAAGTAAAACAATGGTTCTTGTCAATTAAAGTAAATTTTCTATCGCTATCGTTTCGAATTATCTATGCCAGCACTGTAAGTTAGGACGGAATCATGCACACGTGCAGTATGCCTCTCTCGTCCACATGATTCTCTTTTGTCGTGCTTAACTCAACACAAAATGCCTTTCTTGTAACAGCTGTGCACAACAGGTAAGTACTAACACTCTTAGTCACCTTTGTGAAAAGAGTATTCCAAATTCAGAGTAATAGTAACCATCTCAGCCACAGTGCCAACAACAAAATTGAGGCACGCACAATGACCGCAAGTGGACACGCGAATCGCGAGACGCATCTGAAGCAGAAAAATATGTAGGCACATCATGCTGTAATGTTATAATAAATTCGCGTACTGTACCAGTAGTTGCTCCGCTCAAGTAATCAAGCTGCCGCGAAGCCAACAGTCACTTCCATCGCTCGCGAAAGAACACCGTCGGGTGCGAGGTCATCTCTTATTTCCGTCGCACGACCCGCGTTGTAACGTACGTATACACCACTGAGACGGTGGTCACCACATCGAAAACATTGTCACTGAAGGGCCAGCGGTGTACTGTATCCATGGCAAATTGTCACACTTGTGGTAAGCACGTAAATAGAATATAAGAAAACGTTAACACGAAACAACTAAACGAAGTCGACGTGACGACAGAGACCAAGTCTGGCCTGCATGGTGCGCCCTCTCTGAGTAACAAGTGGAAGAATAAAAAAAGGCGTGACCTCCGAAATGGCGAGCGCGCGGCAAGCGTTTGCCTTCTCGTAGGTTTCGAGAAAAAAATTATCTGTGGCAGTGGCCGAGAGATGTGTCAGCCCTCGGAATGGCGTTGGCGTTGTATTCATGGCTTGGGGTCATCGTTTTCGCGAAAACCTGATAAGAAGTAGTAATTATTCCGTTCATCAATGTGGAACCGTTAATAAACTTCTGATTGCCTAAGAATCAGATACATCATAATTACGTGTGCGCATGTTGTGGTACGGCCACCAAACGTACAAAATATTATGAAAACTTATTTGTCACTTGTGCCACTACGGTTAGTCGAAATTTGTTGCAATATAGGCTTGTGCATTTTCGTAGCAGGGTGTGAGTGAACACGTCTAAGTGTGTGCCATTGTGGCGAATTATTGATTGTACTGTCGTTCATTCAGTTCATTATATATGTATGTCGGGTACTGCCCCGCCGCGGTGGTCTAGTGGCTAAGGTACTCGGCTGCTGACCCGCAGGTCGCAGGTTCGATTCCCGGCTGCGGCGGCTGCATTTCCGATGGAGGCGGAAATGTTGTAGGCCCGTGTGCTCAGATTTGGGAGCATGCTAAAGAACCCCAGGTGGTCGAAATTTCCGGAGCCCTCCACTACGGCGTCTCTCATAATCATATGGTGGTTTTGGGACGTTAAACCCCACAAATCAATCACTCAATGTCGGGTACTACGTGTCCTTATGTGCATCTGTATCTATATGCATTGCATCAGCATACATTAAGCGTCTGGTGTCAGTCAGTAATTTATGAATGGGCTGACTCACCAACTATCCACTAGAGAGCCGTGCGGTGTGTCAACGTAAGTCACTGCAGGCGACTTTTATTTTCAGTACCGTTCAGTCCCTCGAGTTGGCGCCAGCTACCACCTACTTAACGGCTATGACAATATCACACCTCCAGCTGCTTATATAATGCGGAACTTCAATCTATAGCACCTGAACTGCTGAGCCGGAATGGTTTAGCTGCGATTGGGTCTGTGGTTTGGAGGCACATCTAGTGGCTTGCGGACACATAAACGCGTGGATAACGTCGCTGCAATATGTGAATCTGCGAGAAATAAATATAGCAAGCCTAGAATACACTCTCCGGGTGAGAACTTCGCAGTATCCATGTCTTTCAAAGTGAACGTCGTCTTGCTGGCCGAACACAACCTACTAGCTCCGTCGTTCTGTATCGTGATGTTTTCATCACTACAGATTCGTCTGCTTGTTTTTATTATCATTTCATTCAATATCAAGCTCAGCGGGACCATTTTCTGTAATTTTTAGTGCCGTGTACTCCTTATCAGCCGAGAATCGATGCATTCGCTGGGCCTACTCACTTCTCTAACCCTGGGTCAGCCATCTTGATTCTGGGAGAGAAACAGTTTTTCCGTGGCAAAAGGCAGCAACATTTCTCCATTTAAAGGCGAACATTGGGGATATTGCCATTTCTTCCTTAATGGAGAGAATGTCACTCCATTTCTTAACAGTGTAATATTATTACTAATATGATTGCGTCACTTACACACTGAGCATCGAAGTGACCTTCATGAATAAGCAAACATGGTGATTCTTCTGAGAAGTGGTGCCCCGTATTTATGAAGCAATATTTTAAGTCTTTACTGAAGCATCGTTGGTCATTTCATTGATTGTTGTCTAGGGTGGTACAAATCTAATTAGCCAATACTTTTGTAAATAATTTTGAGGCAACAGACAGTGCACTACAACATTTAAAGTTCTTGGTGCGAGGGCGGTGCGATGGTGTTACGGAGAAAATGCAGTTTTTGTTGTTTCACAACAGATAAACCGTCCGGGGCGTTGCCATTGTTGACATGTTCTTCTATATTTGTGATACATAAACATTTTGACACCTCCGTGTACGCAGCACAGTTTTTGAAATTTCTTGGTGTAACATTGACTGGTAGAACTAAGAGATATTTACAACGCACCTGTTGCAGATAGCCATAGTTGGTTCGTTGTAACTATCCTCAGGAAGCAGCGCGCGCCCTCTTCGTTCTCTTCTTTATCGTCATCGCGTCTTCACCTTCTGCTTTGCTTCATGTACAATAGCGCCAATTCCTTTCGAATGGGATGCAATATCTTTGATCTGCGACAAAGAAAGCAGAGCAGAGAAAACAGAGATATCAAAAGTGAAATGTTTGGAGAAAAAATTCTTCACCTGTTGAGATTCCAAGTTGTGTACACAACATGGAGTGACTAGCAGAGCTCAAACGGGAAGGGGAAAAAAGTGAGACGTAAGGGGGAGGAGGTGTGAGTAAAACGTGCCATTGAACAAAATGTAGAATTAGAAAGAACGCAAGGCAGAAAGAAAGGCTTGGAGAGAAAAAAGAGAAATATATAGACAAAGAGGGACAAAGAATGATTTCGGAAGATAGAGCTAGGTATATATTATGCAGAAATAGAAAGAGAAAGACGCATGCAAGGGTATGGAGACCTCTGTCTTCGCACCACAAGTGAAAAGCTGCCGTACTTTCTTTTTTGAGCTGCAGCTGTTAAAATATACTACTGCATTTAGTTATGCTGTACAGCACTAAAGAGGAGCTGCTAAATAGCAATGGCTTGCCGTTTATGAATCCTTCACACCAAATTGGCTATTTCCTGTCCACGTATGCCTAAAAAATACCATCTTTAAATTAAGGGAAGTATGTGGTGATACGAAGCACTCGCGTTTCCATTTGCTGTTTGCATCTGCATGTTTCCCTGTATGTTTCATTTGTGTGCGGAGTTGTCTATATTGCCACAAGCATGTATTACGTTATATCATTTGTGGCAGAATTGTATGTGCCGCTATAGAAAGGATGATCAAGAATAGTGGGAGAAAGAATGTGTTTTGTTTTGCCAGTGAGGGGACCAGCCTGGCACTCGGCCGACTTTCAGTTATGGCTTTCTGTTCATTTTAAGGTGGCATTTTCAGGTGGAGGTGCTGGTTAGCATCCTATACACACTACTAACACGAATATCATCCCTAAATAGATAACGATGCCTTAGAAGACTCGGGTG